TGCAGAAATTTTAAGTAATTAAAAAAACTCACAGGTATAGTAAGGTGGCTTTCAGTCCTGCTTTCAACCATTCTCTTGAATCTCTGTCTGTCAAAATCATTTTTAAGAATGTATTTTGAAGCAAAATAAAGTAGTTGAAATATTATCATCTGTGCTTATTTGATAAAATTGCCCGTGGGGGATGATAGCAGTAAACATTCTTTGGGTTTGTTGTTGTTTTAAAATGTATTTACCTGTGTGTGTGTGTGTGTGTGTGTGTGTGTGTGTGTGTGACCATGGTTTGCAAGTAGAAGAACTTTCAGGAGCCAGTTGCCTCTTTCCATGATAATTTAGATGATAAGGCTTGACTTACAGCAAGCCCCTTTCCCGGCTGAGTCATCCCACTGCCCCAGAAGTAAACATTCCTCATGGGACACCCTTCCCAGTTGCCTGAGATCATCATCTGAGACCATCTCCAGAAAATACAGTCTCTCAGCTTCTGTTCTGTTATGTGTGGATCAGGAAGCTCCAAGGAGAGGGGTGCTAGGAGGACAGGAGGATTTAAGTTCCAGTGTGGTCCTCTTGCAGCAAAATGGAGTAGGAAAGGCCTCAGGTCCCACCAAGACTTACTCATTACAAATCTATGTTTTGAATGACCCCAGATGCTTAGCATGCAGCTAAGTGTGAGAAGCCAGGCACCTGGAGCCCCTTCCTGCCCCCCTCCCTCCTCCCCCCCATCCTCCCCAAGGTGGTCAAGATTAGCATAACTTTGACACCTCCTTGATGTTGACCTAGCAATAAAAATCCCAACTCTGTGGGAGTAAATGCCTCCTGCTCAAGTCACAGCCCTGAGTTCTGGGAAATCCCTGAACAAATGACCTTCTAGATCTCATGAGCGTTGTGGGGCCTCCAAAGGGAAGCCAAGGTGAAGAGACGACTCTTTGCCTCCCTCATCAAAGTCCATTTGAGATCAGAGCTGTTGTGTTTGCTGCCCCTTAAGTCACAGTAAATCATTCACCTATAGGGACAGCAGGGAGAGTCGCAGCACAGCTCTTCAAAGTCACTGGGAAGATCCACATAGCTTCCCTGTTCCCTTCCTGACCATATCTTTTCCTTCCTGCCCCAGATGGTGTTTGTATCCTTTGTGCTCCCACCAGGGGGCGCCAGCAGGCACTTGGGTTGGCCACCACCTCCAATCAGATGAGCTGAGATCCAGGACCTTGAGTGCATGCCTAGTGATAGAGGAAAAATAGAAACAACAGAAACCAAAACAGTCGTATCTGTCTGGGCTGCCAGCCACAACCGTGTGTGATCCTGAGAGCTTGTCAGAGTCAGAATGGCCCAGACAATGCCTGCCAAAGGGCTGTGCCCCTCAGACCTGAGCTGTGATCTTAAAGCAGGCAGCACCCTGCTGCCTGCTCCTGTGGCAAGTGCCAGCCTTCTCACCTTGAGTTTGATTTCTTCCTGAAAATCGACAGCCAACACAAGCCTGTGTGACCAGACACTGAGGTCCCTCTGTGTTCTGGCATCTACTACTTCTCTCTCTTCATCACTATTGAACAATCCTGCTGGCTCCAGTGCTGGCCTTGGCTACCAAGTGCTCACCTGGCATCTGCCTCCCCTGAGCCTGGCTTCTTAAGCTCTCTGGAAACTGACTTGCAGATCCTTCCATGGGAGCATATGGGTCACCTGTGGGGGTCTAGTACCTGACGCAGAGGGAGAGATGAGGGATGATAGCAAGGATTCCTGACCTTGAGGAGCTCATAAATGTCACCCCGTTTGTCCTGGCAGCTCCCAGCTGTTTATAAGTAGCAGAGATCAGGATAGTCTTGTGTGTGTGTGTGTGTGTGTGTGTGTGTGTGTGTGTGTGTGGAGTTCACTGAATGTAAATGGTTGAAACCTCAGGCTCTGGAGTTGCACAGATTTCCTTCAGGTTCTGGCTGCCTGTTACTAGCAGAGCAACCCACCTTGCTTTCTGTATTGTTTTAATTAATTGTGTGTGTTTATAGGGTGCGAGTATGTGGGCACACATGCGATAGCATGTGTGTAGAGGTCAGAGAACCACTTTGTGGAGTCAGCATTTCCCACTCTAAAATGGGCTAACAGGGACTCCAGAGATAGTTCAGTGGTCTTGAGCATTTACTATTCTTCCACCAAAGTATGTCAAGGAACTCTTAGCAACATGTCTGCAGTTCCAGCTCAGGTGATGTCATACCCTCTGCTGGCCTCCATGGACAGCTGTATGTGCATTTGCCCACATGTGCACACACACACACACACACACACACACACACACACACACACACACACACACAATGACCAAGTAAATTTTTGTAAATCAATAGATGGGGCAGAAGAGATGGGTCAGCAATTAAAAGCACAGGTTGGTCTCCCGGAGAAGCCTGGATTGGTTCTTTGCACACACATGGTGACTATCGAGCATCTATAACGCCAGTTCCAGAGAATCCGACCTCCTCTTCCAGGCACTGTCGTAAGTTCTTCTTGTATTAGTTCATTCACTCCTTCCTATATCCTGGTTTTACATATGAGGAAACTGAGACACAGAATTTGAGGGTCAAGCAGCCAGTAACAGACTTAGGCCAAGCCAGGCAGTCTGGCCCAGAGCCTGCCTTCTTACTCCTATTACCACAAAGCCTCAAATAATTCGAGGATACCAACAGTGCCTGGGGAGCAGGGAACACTGTGTACACATGACAGATTGTGACTACAAACTCAGCCTCTTGGTGTTTGTTCTTCAGCTGGGATCCTTAACCAAACAAGGCATGGAGTCGGGGGACTGCTCTAGATGGCCCTGAGACTGTGTCCCAGCAGCTAGCATTTCTGAGTTCTATGGCTAAAAGAGAAATGTGATGGATTCTTAACCCCCAGTACCACAGAATATGATCTTGTTTGGAAGTGTTTAACAATGTTAAAATGGAGTCACTAGAGTGGGCTCTCACAGATCCCACTGTTTAAAAGGACAGATTTGGACATAGACATGTCCTAAGAGACGTCTCTGTGGTGACTCAAGCACAGTCATGCTCTGGAACACCTCAGGTTACAGAAATGAAGAGACAGTCATGGGAAAGATGTTTCTTAGCCTCACAGAACCAGGGAGAGTCTTGTAGACATACCTTGATCTTAGACTACTAGTGTCCACAACTGTGAGACAAACATTTTTGCAGTCCAAAGTCATCCAGTTTGTCATGATTTGCCCAGCGTAGCAGGAAATCAGAGAGAGAGAAAGTGTGTGACTGTGTGTGTGTGTGTGCATGTATATGTATACATATATGTGTGTATATATAGTGTGTGGTGTTTGTACATGTTCATGTGGATAGACACACGTGCATATGGGTTCACTATTGTTCTCTAGTTTATTCCTGGAGACAGGATCTCTCATTAACCTGGAGCTCACCAATTAAGGCTAGACTGGCTGACTAGCTTTGGGGATCTTCAAGTGTCACTGTGCCTCACCAGACTTGGGACCGTATTTTTGGTTGGCACTCGGGCATTCACTTGTCCTGGAAACACCAGTTTCACAAGATTGCATTCTGGATGCCTATCTGCTTGCCTTCTCTCTTTCCTGCCTTCGTGTGCACAGTTGACTAAAACGTAGCCCACGCAGCAATGGCACAGTTCATCAGTGGATGCTCAGCATGTCCACAGCAATGGAAGCAATGCCCAGACAAAGACTGAGGACATTAGCAGCACCCCTCGAATCCCCAACCATTGGCCAACAAAGGAGCCACTATCCTGACTTCTAACATCGCAGATTGGTTTTGCCTGGTTTTGAGCTTGGCATAAATGGGATTTCACAGTACTCTTTTGTGTCTGGATTCTTTGCTCCACATTGTGTTTGTGAGATTTGCCTGTGTTTCACATAGCAAGCCATTTATTCTCACAGTGGAGTAGAGTGCCCTATACTTCCAGACTGTGGGACACAATTTAAGAAGTGCATGGAGAAAGAGAAGAGCTGGGAGCGGGGAGGGGGGAGGGGGGGCAGGACAGTGGGTGGCGGGGAGAGAGATAAAGTAACTAAGTTACAGCGAGAGGAAGAGAGTTGTTTCATTTAGAATGCAGTGGATCTGTTAAGAGCAATTTTCCAGAATCGCTACTCCATCACCCTGCTACCCCCAACTCCTTAGATTTCTACAGTTGTAACTGTGTCACACTAGGCTGGTCCTGCCTGAACAGATAGGAAGGGACAGGTAGATAAGTAGCTGTGTTCCATGTTTTTGAACCTGCCTCGCCCTCAAAATAATCCAGAGCCTGGACCATCCCCAGTTGGCAGTAGGGCTCCTGTGTCTTCAGTAGCATCAGAGCCACCTTCATTTGTAGCCAGATAGGCTACCTCTTCTATTCAGCACTGTGGAATTAGTCCAGTCAGCCCTTCTAGCACTGATCTGAGTCTTCCTCAGGCTGTCAGTGGCTGGAGGGAATCCACGGAAGGGGTCTGCGGTTCCCCTTTGAAGCCACTACAAAGAATCACTCCCACGGCTTTCTCAGGCTCAGCCCTTCAACTGCAAGCGCAGCTTGGCTGCACTTAGGCTGTGCCCTTCTCCTTATCTTGGCCAGACTATAAATCATCTCAATTTCTTCATACTCACCAATTTTTCTGGGGTCTCCCTTTGGCTGGGAACAATGACCTACTCCCAAAATGCACTTTTAGAGGATCCCTGGGGCAAATCAGCACAACTGCTGGTCCTGAGCCTCAGTCCATATTTGGTACCATCTCTGAGCCAACGGTAGAATAGACTATAATGCAACACAGCTGATTCACCAGCTGTCCTTCTTGCTCCCTAAGCTGTGCCGGCCCACTCCAGTTTCCACTGAGTTCAGCACAGAATCCGTAGCAAAAGGTTAATATAGCTAAAGTGCAGGGCTTTGTGCTTTTCGGTCTCTGCAATTTACTGCTAACTTCTTTCTAGGATCCCAGTTCCTGGGAGGCTGTCCTTTCTAGATTGCAATAGAATAATATTCTGGTGTTTCAGTGATCTTGTGGGTGTGGCTAGGAGCCGGGAGGAGAGGAGACGCTTGCTCAAGCCCAATTGCAGCTGAGCTCAGTTCCGAAGTGGAAGCACTCAGAGAGCCACACCCTGACCCTAGGCAGAGGTCAGTATTCACAGCCCAAAACTGGAGCATTAGCTCTTTTGTTCGTTCTCCACCCTCAAGTGCCTTTTATTTGTTTGGGCTTTTGTAAAGGAGGCTAGAACCTAGCGGTCCTAGGACTGCAGAAACAGCACAAGTCTAGATTGCCAGCTAGGGGAAAGCCCTTGAGGAGATACCCACATTTTTTAATTTTTATTTTATTTTTTTTGGTTTCTTGAGACAGGGTTTCTCTGTGTAGCTTTGGAGCCTATCCTGGCACTCGCTCTGGAGACCAGGCTGGCCTTGAACTCACAGAGATCCGCCTACCTCTGCCTCCCGAGTGCTGGGATTAAAGGCGTGTGCCACCAACGCCCGGCAGCCACATTCTTTAAATTACCAGCCACCTCACCATCCCATGCTTATTACAGAGCAAAGCATTATGTTAGACTCTACCAGAGGTGCACTGAGGCTGGCCCAAACCAGACTGCCAATCTTGCCACATTTTCAGGAATTTTTTCAAACAGATCGTTAAACATAATTATTATTAAAAGATTTAATCACATAAAAATTATAATGGGGTAAATGAGATTTAAAACAGCTATGGCTGGTGAAATGGCTTTGTGGGTAAAGGCACTTGTCACTAGTGCCAATGGCCCGAGTTTGATCTCCTAGACCTAGGTGGTAGAAAGATAGAATCGACATCCAATAGTTGTCTTTTGATCATCTCAGCTGTGCTGTGGCATGCACACAATCACACACACACACACACACACACACACACACACACACACACACACACACAGTATTAGATAAATAAGATTTTACATTGTTAATAATTTTTAAACAGCTGTAGTAAGCCTGGGAAGATAACTCAGCTGTTAAGAGCACTTGCTACACAATCATAAAGACCAGAGTTTGGATCCCAGCACCTACATCACAAGCCAGGCAAGATCAACTGAAAATGGATTAACTCTGGATCCCAGGGATCCTACTCTCTTCTTAAGTCCTGGGCCCACAGGCACGGGCACCCTCACACACATGTACATACATTCACATTGACACTCGCAGACACAAATAAGTAAAATAAAATAACCAGCTGTAATAAATACCCGACTCATCACATCCGCTTATCTCGCTGCAGGCGACTCACTGCATGGCATCTGTATGGTGGAAATACGTTATACTGCTGTATATTCACGTGTCTTCCCAACTTCTGGCTCAGGGTCCTCATTTTAGCTTGTAATCAGCCAGGAGGGGACTACTTACTCTAAAGGACTTGGATATGTGAACCAAGACTACTGTATCCCCACTTGGACAAGCATATTGCTGCCAAGATGAGGTAACAAATATCCTTCCCCGGAGGTACTTATAACTCATGAAGGAAAATAAGTCTTTCGAGTCTTGGGTTGGGCACAGTTTCCTGAAAAATGCTAAAGAGGGTAAGAAGATAGAGAAGTCAGGGAGACTCGCCGTAGCTGGCTCATACTGCCTCACACTGCCATTTATTAGCCCTGTCACCAGAAATAGTAAGAACTTGGTTTTAATCATTTGAAAACGAGGAGTGATGGCATCTTCCCATTGTACACAAATCCCAAAAGCAAAAGATAAATTCCCACGTTCAACAGCCAGGCCATGACTACATGGAGTCCACGTTACTTATGCAGACATCTGGAACCTAACTCCTAATAACCAATGTTGCCAGTTTCAAGAAAAACAGGTCAAGTTGTAGAATTTCCTTCTTAGTAAGAGAATGAGATGCCCACCTGTCTTTTCAGATGTGGACACTACTGCATCAACAGCCCACAAGATATGACCAAGACACTTCTCAACTGCTAAAAAGAAAGAAATGAAACCCTTCCATCAACTCTCAGCCCATGTTCCTTCTCTGGGAACTTATTCGCTGCCTCCTTCCAGTGTATTTCAATAAATTCTGTTTTTCCATGTTTGGGTTAATTCTTTTTACTTCTTGTATTATCAGCTTTACTTATGGATTTCACAGACACTTGCCTCATCATAAGACATTCTCAGTAATCCAGAGGTGGAGGCAGGGGAATCAAAAATTCAAGGCTAATCTCTGTTACATAGTAAGATCAAGACTAGCCTAAGCTGTATGAGATCCTGACTCAACCTAAAAGTGGAATTGTGAAAAAGCCTTCAATGAAGACTCAGTGTAAAGACCTGAGGCTGCAGAAAGGGCTTTCTTTTCTTCTTTAGAGACTCTGCAGCCTAGCCTGGCCTCAGACTTGCCACAGTTATCCTTCCTTAGCTTCCTGAGTGCTAGGATTACAGCTGTGAATCATCACATCTGGTCAGCTAGAGACATTTCTGATTAAGGGACCAGGAATGACATAAGAGCACTAAGGACTAGTCAGAGAACGGCTAGGAGTCCAGTGAATGCAGATATTAAGATATATCAGGAACACTGAGTGGGTAGAGTAGGCATGAGGCAACTCTGGTAGTGCAAGATTGACAAGAAGGGCAAGGCTGGGACTGGAGGAGACATCACTGAGGAAACTGAGGTGCTGCAAAGGAACCCAACAATCCAATTACTTGTGTTTGAGAGACAGAAATCTCAAGCATAATTCAGTCAATCAAGGGGTAGAATGGACAGGCAGTGTGATGGGTGATGGGAGATCTGCTCATCCAAGGTTAGGTCCCAGCTATAACTGAAGATATAGGGGCCTTGCTTCGTTATTAAAAATGGGGCCAGAAAGCCGGGCGTTGGTGGTGCACGCCTTTAATCCCAGCACTTGGGAGGCAGAGGCAGGCGGATCTCTGTGAGTTTGAGGCCAGCCTGGTCTCCAGAGCGAGTGCCAGGATAGGCTCCAAAGCTACATAGAGAAACCCTGTCTCGAAACTCCCCCCAAAAGGGGTGGGGGAAACCCAGAAGTTTGAAATAATGTGGGTATTGGTGCTATAGTAGACCTAGCATGTTAGGTTGGGTTGGCAACAGAAGACCATGTGGAAAATCAAGGCATTAATGGAATAGACCAATACCTAAGGGATTTACTTCTCAGCCAGGAGAAATTCAGCTACAAAGACTAAAACATTTAACAAAGGCTATTTAAGTTTTTCACAAGAGTGTGCAAGTGGTAGTAGGATTGGTCCATCACTCAGCACCATCACCAGGTAGCCAAACTCTTCATTCTGATGTGGTCACTGCTGTCAGTATGTCAGCTTTCATTCTTGTGGTTGATATCTGCCACAACTCACACCCTCTGAAGCAAAGTAGATACGCCTGGGGCAAATCTGAACATCTTTGCAATCAGGGAACAATATTTTCCTCCATTCCCCAGCAGACTTCCCTTTACATATCATTGGCCAGAACAGTCCACACAACAATGTTCACACTCTGGCCTCCTGTGAACTGTGATGGTTTCCCTTCTGGATTTTGAATTAAAGTATGAACCATGAGATAGCCAGGCTATCCTACTGGCCCAGCTGGCAGAGGGCAATGGCAGCATTATAACAATTTGCTACTGATTCTGAGACATGGGGGCTAAGAATGATAATTGGAGAGAGGCTGCTAGGAACCCAGAAGGGGCTTGAGTTCACAGCCAGAAAAGAAACAGGGGCCGTAGTCCTATAGCTTCAAGAAATCACCATTGCCTACAACCAGAGAACAAGAAAACCAAGCCTCTCTTGAACCCCCCAGAAAGGAGTATGTCCATGATTTTAGACAAGTGAGACTCAGGCTTAGCAAGAGAAATGCAAAACTGTAACAAAATAACATCTGTTTTAAGCTATGCTTGTAGCAAAGGAAAAGGAATACACATGGCCACTCCTAAAGCCAATAGTGGTAGAACCACACATAGTTTAGACCAACTAGGCATTTGCCTGGGATTGGAGTCGTAGGCTCAATCCTGTTAACTACCCATCAGTTAATGCTTGAAGGCACGTTAAGTGAAAGGTGGGAAACCAACATTAATGAGAGTGAGAAACAGGCTGAGGAGCAGCAGGTGAGATCCAGGATTCACATACCAGGTGCCTTTGTGTGTCTTCTGTTCTGATTATCATTAAAAACTTTGAACATTCTCCATGATTCTGACTAAGGGAAGTCTTAGTGCAGGGACCCAAAGAGTACTCCCTAACCCAGCCAGGGACCTATCCTATCCTGGGAGGAAAAGTCTCTAAGATTGTTCTTGCTAGTTCCTGGCCTCTGGCTGAGCCGCTAGCACTTGGATACTTCATTAAATATGAGATGCCTTCAGTTGTAACAGAGAATAGTATAACATTAAGAAATTTTTAAAAATGTGAGCTGTCAATATGGCTTCCTGAGTAAAAGCCCTTGCCATGTGATCTTGACAGACCTGAGTTCAATCCCCAGAACCGAGACAAAGGTGGAAGGAGAGGAAAAAACTCCACAAAGTTGCCTCCTGACCTCTATACTGTGGGATGTGCACACACACCCCACACACAAACAAAATGTACACGAATACACACACGGTGATAATAAATAGAAATAGAACAATTTTTAAAGGAATGCTGCAAAATGAACAATAGCAGACCATTGATTTTAACATCAGTGAGAGTAATATGTTAAGAGGAGAGAAAATGTGCATATTATGCTCTGTCAAATATGATACACATTTTCTGCCAATGGTGAGGGTTAATTCTTGCCATTCTGCCGAGATTTCTAGACACCAGCTGTTCGCTAGCACTTTCCCAGGAAGCCAGAGGCCAAGGTAGAATGGGGACATGAGTTGCTTAAAGCCAGGCCCCTTCCAGTTGCTGAAGGCTCTCTCACTGGGAAATAAGATGCTGGCCATGTGGTCTCTAGGAACTGAAACAGCATTTATGACTCCTATCTCATGTCAAGGTTGAGAGATCTATGCTCAACACAGGTGGACTGAAGCGATTGCTGGGTTACCTTTGTTTTTTGTTGTTTTGAGGAAAGGTCTGGCTATGTAGATCAGGCTGGCCTTGAATTCAAGGTCTTCTGCCTCTGCCTGCTAAGCACTGCAGTTACAGGCATTCACCATCGTGTCTGACCTGAGGTCACCTTTGACTAATGCTGGCCAGACTGTTCACCTCTACTCCAAAGGAAAACACCAAGAAAAGACGCTCCCTTCCCCTCCCCCTCCTTCCTTCCCTTCCCCTCCTCTCCCCTTCCCTTGCTTTCCCTTCTGCTCCCCTCTCCTCCCTTCCCCTTTTTCCATCCCTACCCCTTTTCCTCCTCCTCCAGTGCAAGACATCACGTCCAGGTATTCACACTTGCTATAAATGTTCTCCACACTGAGCCTCAGGCCCGGCCCCCCACCTTTTACCACTCAATAAGTATCTATAACTTTGATAATGATAGAAACAATACAAATTTCAAAGCAAGCCCAGTTGCTCTTTACGAGGCCGAGGGGCGGGGGGGGGGGGGGGGGGGGGTTTACGTATATTTGTAATGACGTGTATGTGTGAAGTGGGGATATGTGCACATGTATGCAGGAAATCACACAGATCTCCTGGAGTTGGGGTTACAGATAGTTATGAGCTCCCTGGCCATTGCTGGGAACCAAATTCCAGTTCCCCATAAGAGAAGTGTGTGCTCTTGACAGCAGAGCCATCTCTTCAGCCCGCTTTCAATTTTGTAACAGTATTGACAATATCATTACTGTTGCTCTTCAGAGCTCACACTTCCTTTGTTCTTAAGAACTGTCCGATTCTACCTCCTTAACATCACACCCTTTTCACCAGTTTCCTTCTCTTTATTCTTGTTTGGCAGACGGAGGCTGTGTGTATTTTTGACCGTCTGACACTTCACCCTGAACATTGAATGCTCAGCAGACAATCCCTTCATCTTGGCATCCCTGGGTAAATATATGAAGCTGGGTTCTTGCAAGCATTTGGTTTTGTGATGACTAAGAAACCATTCTTGGGTTTTTAGAGGGTGACTCGAGGAACCAGTGGGACATAGCCTGATCTTCATCAGCTTCAGTGGCTGCTGCTATCTGCGAGGGTGGCTTGCTTTTATTGAGGATTTCACGTTTGTTCATCCTGATGTGCAGGGCCCCATGTGCTTTGTCTGTTCCTGCTAGACAAGCTCTCTTTGTCCCTGCCTTGAGACTCTGATGGGATGCAGAGGGTCAACCAGGCCCTCCTTAAGGACTTGATCTGGACAGATATATTGCACAAATGGGAAACTTTAGGACCAACCAAAGAGCCATTTGCTTCTTTTATCCCTTTGCTAGTGATGGGTCCTGAGTCCAGAAACATCAAACATTGTTCTGAGCACTTTTCCCACTAGGACAAAGCATCATAGCTATGGAGAGGACTCTAAAAGAGCATTTCAAATCCTGTTGCTTTACTGATGAGGAAATGGAGGCTTGGGGAAAGAAGGGCTGGACTCGAGTTATTGGCTTGAAGGGTGACAGAACGGGCCTGGAATTCAGGTTTCCTGTCACTTCAGGCCAGAAACCATGAACAGTAGTGCAGACCTTCATCCCCTGGGGAACGCTCAGCCTGTCTCACTAACCTATCGCCTTAGTTAATACCCCTGGGCTTCCAAAATAGCGCTACTAATAGTTACCTAGTTGCCGAATGCAGAACCTCATGGGCAGGGTTTAGGTAATCACTGTCTGTCAGTGACAGCTTCACAGACAGTGTCCGTCCGTCACTGCTGTGATTCTTTCCCACAGTCCCCTGGGGCTCCTGCTTACATGTCTGAGAGTTGAACTTTGAGATTTCGGGGTAGAGACATCTATGGAATTTGTTCTCCTTTCTAATCTCACAAAAATCAACAAATCGTTTCTGTTCGACCCAAGAGTAGCCTCTAGAGTTGGTAGGTTACAGCACAGGGAGGCTTCAGGTTAGAGGCACCAGAGCCCGCCTGCCTGGAGAGATAACAACAGCAAGGCTGGGCAAGGGGGGAAGCCTTCTCAGAATGAAGATGCCATATAAGTGTGGAGGGAAGGAAAAGGGGATCTGTGAGCCCTGAGGCGCCTGGGTGGGGGCACTTGGCATGTGAATGGGGTGGAGAAGGCCAGGAAGGGGGATGTGATGTGGACATTTACAGCTCTAAAGGAAGGAGACTCAGAGTGTATGAAAAGGACCATTTTCTGTGGCGCTCAGGAAGGGCCTCTCACAGGGGATTTCCTACCCAGGGCTCCAGGCCTTGGCTGCCTTCCCAGGGAAAGGTGGTGTTTGCTACGGGGACTTGCACACTGCATGGCTGTAGTTCAGAGGCAAAAGGTGCCCACTCCCAGCTCTGGGCTGCAGGCTGCTTGAGCCTTGTTAAGCTGGGAGCAAATGCACTCTCCTTGAACCAGACATTCAGCGGACATTGAGAGGAAGGGATGCTGAAGGCAGGGCAGATGGAGAAATGCTGGAGCGAGGCAGGTGAGAGCAGTGAGGGGCTGTTCAGAGGAGAGAGCCCTTAGCACCGGGTATGGTGTGTAGATAATTGCTGGCCAGGCCGAATCTACAGGTACAGAGCTCCTCATTAGTGCAGTGTGATCTAAAAGCAAGACCCATCTTGGATTTCAAAATTAAAAACAGAACAAAAGCAAAACACATACAAACCCCATTGCTTTTTCCCCAACCTCAGTGAAAAATCAATATGTGCTATTGAAGAAGAAAACCTATCTCAAGTGTTGAGGATGTGGTAGAATGCTTTCTTCTATATGCAAGGCCCTGAGTTCTATGTTCACACAAGGCTTTTCAAGAGGGAAAAGTCAATCTCAGAAACCACGTGTACTTCCTGCCAGCATCTGCCAGATTTCTGATGGGGATGATGGGTGCCTTCCATTTTCATTTAGGATAATCAGTAGCGGGAAGTCCTCATACATCTGTTCAGGAAAGATAATGATAACATTACCAGAGGTAATTATTATTATTGTTCTGCAGATACTGTAGTTGGAACTTTCTTTGGGCCACCAACCAGCTCCCAAATAAAGACACAGAGACTTGTTATTAATTATGAATGCTCGGCCTTAGCTTAGGCTTGTCCCACTAGCTCTTTTAACTTAATTTGCTATTTAAACATGTTTTACCTTGGGGCTTTTTACCTTTCTTTCAGTCAGTATATCTTATTTTCTTGCTTCCTCTGTGTCTGTCTGGCTGTCCCTTGGTGTCTCCCTGAATCTTTTCTTTCTTCTTCCTAGCCTAAATTTCTTCACCTCCTCTTCCTCCTCCTCCTCCTCCTCCTCCTCCTCCTCCTCCTCCTCCTCCTCTACTCTCCTTGCCCAAAAGTCGCTCCTATACCTCCTTCCTTGATATTGGCTGTTCGGCTTTTTATTAGACCAATCAAGTGCCTTAGGCAAGCAAAGTAAAACAGCAACACATATTTACGTAATTGAACAAATGCAATGCATCTTTACATAGTTACACAAGTATTCTGCAACATAAACAAATGTAACACATCTCTATTTAGTTAAACAAATGCAACACATCTCTGCATAGCTAGATAAATAGTCTGCAACAAGATACTATCTGCCTTTCAATCCCTCTCACTCCCTGCTCCGTTAGCTTCACTCTTTCCCACTTTCTCTCTATACTTCCAGCCTCCTTCCCTGTGTTTCCCTTTGTACTATTTACTTTTCCATATCTCTTTTCTCTCTCCCTTTTTCTCCCTGTCTCTCATCTAATTTGTTCTCTTTTCTCCTTCCTTCCTTCCTTCCTTCCTTCCTTCCTTCCTTTCTTTCTTTCTCCCCCCCCCTTTTTTTTTTTGGTTTTACCAGACAGAGTTTCTCTGTGTAGCCTTGGAGCCTATTCTGGCACTCGCTCTGTAGACTAGGCTGGCCTTGAACTCACAGAGATCCTCTTGCCTCTGCCTCCCGAGTGCTGGGTATTTTTTTTTCTTTCTTTTGTGACTTTGAGAAAGTATTTCACTATGTAGCCCAGGCTGACCCCTCACCTCCCCCTGCCTCAGCCTCCTGAAGGCTAGGGTTGTAAACATGAGCTGATAATCTCTAATCTCTTCTCTTCCTTTCTTGCTGTGTCCCAGTGCCTGCTCAGTTTGTAGAAATTCACTGGACAAAGTCATAGAATCAGGAGTGGGGCTGCTGTGAAGTTGTTGAGACCAGGGACTGGCTGCCCAAATTCATAATAAAAGGGGTTCTTTGAGTTCTTCCTGACAATGATTCCTGTGCAAAAGACTCTCGCCCATCTCTCAGCAAGAATCTATCATCTTAGAGAAATCTCTGGCCCTGCCCCATGCTCAACAAAGAGTCAAGACAGGCAGCGGTAGTGTGATTAGCTATTTCCCACCAAAGAAGACAACAGATAGAAGAGGTCTAGTGGTAGACTCTAGAGATGGCTCAGAGTTTAAGAGCACAGGCTGCTCTTCCAGAGGTCCTGAGTTCAATTCTCAGCAACCACACATGGTGGCTCACAGCCATCTGTAATGAGATCTGGTGCCCTCTTCTGTCATGCAGGCAGAACACTATATACATAATAAATAAATAAATCTTAAAGAAAAAAAAGGAAAGAAAAGATCTAGTGGCTTTGGTGGGGTGGGGTGGGGGTAGGAGGTTAGTAAGCCTAGCCTTTAACAGTTGAGCTCTCTCCAGCCCAGGTCTAATGTTTTAAATATCCAGGAATGTTTTACATCATCATTGGAATCTCCCAGATGCCCAATTAATGGATTAATTAATTAATTAATTAATTAATTAATTAATTTGAGGCAGGGTCTCACTCTGTAGCCCAACTTGGCCTGAAATTTATTATGTAGTTTAGACTGGCTTCAAACATGAAACAATATTACAGCTCCAGCCTCTGAAGTGTTGAGATTATAGCCCTGAGCTACTATGCCAGGCTTAGTTAATTTATAATGATGTTTCATTTTAGCACACAACCTAAAGTTAGATGTGGGGTTGTGCTTAGTATCAGTGGGAGCATTTCTTGTGTTTCTCAAATCATTCATTCACTCATTTATTCATTTATTCTGTTTTCCATTTTGTCTGTAGCATGTGACAGAGAATAGGCTGCTTTCTAAGGCAAATTTCTGGTCCTCCTTTTTCTGTCTCTAAAGTTACAGAGAGGATACATAACCTTTAAGGTTGCTTCTAATGTGTCAGGTTCTTCATTTACTCAATCTCATACTTAGTCTATCTGATACCTGGAGCAGACCGTGATAAACACCCAGCATCTTTCTATGATGTGACAAATAAAAGAATTACAGAAATGATCATGCCATGAAGCAACACTTAGAAATAGAAATTTGACTACAGATGGAAGTTTGAGTCCTGGAGGATGGATAGAAAAAGTGAAACCTCTGTGTTTTCATCTTGTAACTGAAACTGGAGAACATGAGCACCATAGAGCTAGGATGTAGATGATTCCAATTAGGAATGAATGAGTGTGGGCATTTGAGGCTATTCATAGCAGTGGCTGTCTGAGTGATCCGAGTTATAGGGTTAAACTGGGTACAGAATACAGTACATATTAAAGGATAAGTAATAATATTGCTAAATTAGAGGTTAAATACTGATGGAAGCCAGGTGTGGTGGTGAATACATATAATCCCAGGAAGCAAGGATCATGAGTTCCTGGCCAGCCTTGGCCACATGGTGGAACTCTGTCTTGAAAATCAAACTTAAAATGAAACAAATGCCCACAACAGTACCTATAACAATTGCTTAGAATTTAGATAAAATTATTTGAGGGATGGGAGGAGCTAGGTTATCACTTACGTGGCTTTTAATGGGCAGTTCACGTAATATCAAAAGCAGACCACTGTAATGTAAAATAAAATCACAGTTTGAACAATTTTAGGTTTACAGGAAAGTTGGAAAAAATAGTATATGGAGAATTCTCATATGTCTTTCTTTAGGTTTACACATTGATTATTAATTAAAACAAATACTAACACTGGTACAACATGGTTAACCAAACTACAGACTTTATGTGGATTTCTCCAGGGTTTCCAATATGATCTCTCTTCTATTTTGAGTTAGTTTAAGAATTACATTGCATTTACAGGCTTACTACTGTTTAAAAATCCTTTACAAACCTACTTACAGACCCTTATTACCTGTCCTGGGAGATGACCACTCCCACCACCCTCCAGTCCTTGTTATACCATGAATCCCCCTAAGTTGTCTTACTTTGGGGACCTGCAGACTGAGATGTTCCTTCACATCTGGACACCTCAGCCTCTCTGAGGGTGTGTGCTTGGAGATGTTCATCTAATCAAGTCTGCCAATGCTTGCTTTTGGAGTGAATTTGGAAGGTAATTCTGGCCAAGGGGTTATGATGAGAAGCCTGGAGTTTCTGGGTAAGTTCCCTTCCTCAAATTACTCCTTCCCTTTTTGTCTGAATTTTGAGCCGTATTGTATCAGTTATCCTTGGTTGAAGAATGCCTGGAGCTGTTGCAGCCACTTTGTAACAAGGATGGACAAACCTGAAATAGAGGCAAACATCGTGTTCCCAAAAAAAAAAAAAAAAAAAAAAAGTGAGACTCTAATCTTAGGTGTTTTATTTATTCCTGGGAATGAGTTACCTTTATATGAGGAAATACATTTTCCTTTTATAGGGGAAATCTAAAGTTACTGACAACTGATGGAAAACCTTCATCAATAAAAAGCAGGCCATGAGGCCAGGTGTGTAACACACCTTTAATCCCAGCAACTGGATCTCTGTGAGTTCCATGCCAGTCCGGTTTACACAGTGAGTTCCAGGATAGTCAGGATTATATAAAGAAAAAAAAGTATGATGTGCGCCATGTAGATGGCTAGAAGCTTTTCCAGAGACCACAGCAGAAGCATCTCTCATTCAATCATGAATTCAACACTTTACAGCACAGATGAGGGGCTCTTGTGCTTGGCTCTATATCAATATGACAGCCATCTAGGGTTCCATTCTTGCCCCGCCATCTTTTTCTCAACTACAAGAACGAACTCAAAGGAGGAGGGGCTTGCTTAGGGTCCTGTCTGGGGGGAGGGGGTCAGCAGGTAGGTAGCAGGCTCTATTGTTTCTGTGACTCTGATGAGGTTCAAAAGCTTGGTGGATAGTTGTGGTAAAGCCAAGCCACTCACCTCATGGCCACTGGGAGCAGGAAGCAAGAATTCTCCAGGAAGAAGATATGCCCTTGGTGACAGTGCCTGACTCTTAATATCATTTGAACTCTTCAGTGGATTAACACACTGGTACAGCCACCCTTCTAGTGTCCCATCACCTCTATATGACAGCATCAGTCAGGGCCCAAGGTGTCACGATAAGAGCTTTTTAAGGGAATACTTCATATCCACACCATAATACCGGATGTCACACCATCCAGTGTGGGGTGAAATTCAGAGGCCTGCACACCTAACGCAGGAGCACTAGGTGCCACCTGGGAGGTAAGCATAAGGTGCTGCGGATACCTCCAGACCGGAGTGTGGAATCTTAGTAAAGGAAGCAGTACAACTGTCTTGAAGGATGCTTTCCTTCTAGGCAAAGGGATGAGGAACACAGGCACTGAGGCAAACAAAGATGCAGGGATTGACCACCATCAAGTGAAATTGGCCTGATTTAGATAACCTTCAACTGTTTCATTGTTTGACAGTTTCATGCATTTTATAATTAATTTTAGTCACTTTTACCCTTTAGTCCCTTCCCTTATCCCTCTTCCTCTCCTGCTGGAACCTTCTTCTCCACAAGTCTCCCTGCTGTTTTTTAGTCCTCTTTTAGTTTTATAAGGTTTAATAAGAGCTGTTTGCCAAGCATGGCAGGGAGGTTATTTCCTGAAGGTAGGGCAACTTACTGTGGCTACAGCAGTGAAGAAAAGACACCCTGTCTTCCAACTACCATTAGTTGCCAGTGGGAGTAGTGAGGTATCATGGCTCCCTCCCCCATCTGTAGGTAAATGTTAATGTGTCCAATCTTGTTCAGGTCTTGTGCAGATAAGAGCAACTGTGGTGAATTCATGAGTGCAACCACTATGTCATAGCCAGAAGACATCTCCTTACGTTCTTTCTGCCCCCCTCTTCTCTGTTATATTCCCTGAGCTCTAGAGGGGGTGATTAGATAGCCTTGGCTGCAGTCAAATTGTAGGCAGCCATCATTGGGGTCATGCAGTGGAATCCCTGGAGCTTACCTGCTAGGCTTCACAAGCAGCGGTGTGGACCAGCACCTGGAGTTAGATCCTGAGAGATGCACTCAAGCGTCTGAGTTCAGTTTAAGCCACCCGCTAATTCTGTGGCTCTGGGTCATCCATATGTCTCAGAGCAGCCACAGGAAGAGGTTGCCAATCACTGTCTTCCTTCCTCACAGGGCACTTGCAAAGTGCAGTGTAAGTGTAAGGGGTTATTATTCAATTTCCCCTACCTTAGGCCGTAACTCCAAGTCTGCCCACTCTGAGGTCCCTGTTCTATATCAGAATTTTCCTTCTTTTTAAAACAATGTATTTGTTTTGAGTCAGGGTCTCAATCAGTCCCTGTCCAGACTACCATGAACTGAGTAGCACAGGCTGGCCTAAAACTCATAGCAATCCTCCTGCCTTAGCCTCTTCAGGGCTGGGATACAAGGATGTTTTAAGGTTTCCCATTGTTTCAGAATAAAGTCACAATCCTTATCGAGATGAGCATCCAACTCCATCTCTCTCCAAATTTATTTCCATTTCTGCACCCCACCCTCCTCTCTTTGTCTGTCTCTCTGTCTCTGTCTCTGTCTCTGTCTCTCTCTCTCTCACACACACACACACACATTTGGTTTTGAAAGCAAGTCTATCTATATAGTTCAGGCTGGTCTTGAACCCTTAGTCCTCCTCTTCAGCCTCCAGAGTACTGAGATAACAGGTGTGCACCATACCCCCCTCCCCCATGGCCTGAATTCTATCAGTAAAATGTGTGTCAGATAAAGGTCCCACCCAAATGTCCTTTTTTTCCTAGACTATGATCAAAATGAGTCTTCATACTCATAGTGTGTATATTTCAAATTATTAGATGACCACTGCCATCCTATTCAATTGTAACGATGTCTTTATTTCCTAAGAAGTACTGTAAGCTCCAGCAAAGTGTATTAGTTACCTGTTGCTACAAACCGAATGGCAAGATTTAGTAACTTTAGATATCATGGTCTTACTATCTTATCATTGCAGTGGGTCAGGAATTTAGGTGTGGCTTACACCGGCTGGTTCTAACTCAGGGTGATTTACAGGGTGGTCAAGAGGTGTAGCTACAGGACTCATGGAGTTGAACAATCTGCTTCCAAAGTAGCTCATTCACATGCGTGATGTCAGTGCTGGTTGCTGGCAAGGGGTTTCAGATGTTGCCATGTGAACTCTTGCTATACATGTTTGAGATTTACAAAATACGGCATCTGGTTTCTCCAAGAGAGGCTGATGCAAGGTGAAGGAGAAATTTGAAAGGCCTTTTAGAATCTAGTATTAGAGGTAAAAAGAAAAAAAAGTCTCTTATACCATTTTCTGTTAGAAGCAACCCCACTAAGTCTAGTCTACATTCAAGGGAAGTCTGAGCTCCATTGAAGGAAAGAGGAATTAGTTGGATTTGAAGACATATAAAACCACCACACCTGGGTTGTCGTCATATGTCTTTGTTCTCAGTAACTAGCTGTGTCTGCCACGTGGTAGATGCCACGGATATTCCAGATGAAATGGCTAATAAACAGGATAATAACAAAGGTAGAGAAAGGGTCAAGTGTAGAATGATGGAGACGAGGATTGGTGAGAGAAATTATATCGTAAGAATTTACAGGACTTTGAGTGAATAAGAAGGGTTGGGAATGGGCTTGCAAAGTTCCTGCAAAATGTGGGATGCCATCTATCAATTATTAGTATTGAGAGTGTGCATTGATCCACACTACCAAGGGCCCCATAGAGTGCACACTCTTAATACTCAGTATTTATCCCTGGCGTAAGAAGGGACTTTGGGAGCCCATCCCACATGGAGGGATGCTCTCTCAGCCTTGATACACGGGGGAGGGCCTAGGCCCTGACCAGGATGATATGACAGACTTTGGGGAACCCCCATAGAGGGCCTTACCCTGCCTGGGGAGCAGAGGGGGGGATAAAGTGGGAGGCTGGTGGGGGTTCGGGGGAGGGGAGGGAGAGGGAGAAGGGATTGACATGTGAAACAGACTTGTTTCTAATTTGAACTGATAAAAAAATAATTTCTTGGGGAAAAAAAAGAGTGTGCATTGAAAGTACAGGACAATGTTTAACCCATTGTTTGTATTAAGATGGCTTGGGCAATGAAGGCTTAGAGATGTCCCTCATGGCTGAAGGAGGCTTTCCATACTTTCTCTGCTGGTGTCAGTGTGATGCACAATCAAACATACATGTTAGAATCTTTTTTTTTTTTTTGGTTTTTCGAGACAGGGTTTCTCTGTGGCTTTGGAGGCTGTCCTGGAACTAGCTCTTGTAGACCAGGCTGGTCTCGAACTCACAGAGATCCTGCCTGCCTCTGCCTCCTGATTGCTGGGATTAAAGGCATGCGCCACCAACGCCCGGCTTATGTCTGATTGTTCAATTATATTGCAAAGGGAAGTAGCACTGGCTATCAGCAGCAAGAGCATCATCTGAGCCATCTCTTTTATGGCTTAGTGTCTTATTTATGAATGGGGAGGCTCTAATGTCTGTTTCCTGGGGGTTTGGGCCTAAAGTATTAATGTTAGATTGACACCATTACACATTCAAAGGAAATTCCAACAAATCATTGTGAATTGTGGGAGACAGGCGGCGTCATGTCAAATACTAGGATTCCAGTTTTCATTTTTTTAAGAATGCAGTCTCCCAGGGCTCAGACTAATTGGCACGGCTGCAAGTTGACCATTAGAACATTCCTACACAGAAAGTCAAGCTGTTCCAGAGTTCTTAATCTTTTTGTTCTTTGAAAGGCTGGGGGGGGGGGCAAATTTCGGAAGAGTCTTGGTTGGGGAGAAGGCTCAATGAGTGAAATCAAAGCACATGCCATACAAGCATGAGGACCTAAGTTCGAACCTCAGGACAGGTGTAAAAGCTGGCCACACAGAAGGAGCGTTTCTACTGTGGGATGGGAGGTGGAGACAGAAAAGTGTTCAGAAGCTAGAGGAGCAGCTAGCCTGGCCTGTGCAGTGGGAAAATCAACAAAAACAGAGACCTTGAGCCAAACGAGATAGAAGGTGAGGCCTAGAGGGGCATCTGACCTCCACGTGGAATGAATGCCTTTATGGAAATGCAACAATGTGTGAGCTCCTGCATGCACAGTCCCCATACATCACAAAGCTAACACACACACACACACACACACACACACACACACACACACACGTCTTGACATGAAGCAAAGGTTAGTCCAATATAGGCATTAAGATACTTTTTTTGTTTCCCTGGGAATTCGAAGACCAAGGGCTGCATACTAAATAGTGCATAGTATAGAATATAGAAGCTAAATTCCTCTAGGAACTCCTTTCAGTTCTAATTATGCTCAGCCTCTGCCAGTTTTACAAACTCATATTTACTCAGAAGCGAAATAACTGTGGAACTAATTTTAAAAAAGAAATTAAACAATTCTTTTGTTCATTTTGCATTTCTGTACATTTAGAAGTGATTACTTCTTCCTTCATTACTGGCAGGATTAAATCCAATATTTGCCAGTATAATTTATTTTAAAAGATTTTTTTGTCCTTCCGGAAGTATTTTTAAAGCTTATTAATTAAATGGAAACTTTGCATGAGAAAGCTATTGTCTTATTTCTTCATTTCTGTTTATTGTTTATTTTTTCACTTCTGATCAATTGACTGTAGTAGATTTTGGACGAGGCTTGGAAAGCTAATTCAGGGTAACACCTGGCCTTTTAAACTAGGGGGTCAAACCTGGGCTACCTGCACTCCATTGCAGAGCAGGCTCTACAAGGGTCGGGCCTTTGGCGAGCTGCGGGCAGGTTCCGAGCGCTTGAGCCTAGCCCTGGGCAAGTCCTCAAACAGTGGAATAGCCAAGCATTCATTTAAGGTCCGGTGCGGGGCTGAGGCCAGCGAGCAGGCCGGCGCAAGGCTTCCCTCCCCGGGCCCTTCCTGCGGAGGAAGAAGCTGGGCGTGAGGAGTGGGATCCAGGCTCACTTCCTGTCCGGCTGGCGGGCGCCGCCTCCTCCCGAAGCCGGAGTGCAGGGCTTCCTTCCATTCCCGCGTCTCAGCGAGGGTCGCCCCAGCGTATCCTGGCCGAAACCGCAACTCCGGGAGTACTGCGCTAGGGTTAACTGCTCCAGGCTCGCACAGGGGGCGTGGTCGGTGATGCTCGCCTGGGGCATAGGGGCGGGACGGTCGGAGGAAGGGGGCGGGGCCCGAAGTTGTTCCGCGCTGGGCAGCGGGGCTGGCGGGCGGACTGGGCCGGGCCGGAGAAGTTTTCGCTGCGGCTGCTGAGCGAGGGTGCGGGTCCCCGCAGGCAGTGCACGCCCGCTGCCATGGCTTTCCGTAGGAGGACGAAAAGTTACCCGCTCTTCAGCCAGGAGTTCGTCATTCACAACCATGCAGACATCGGCTTCTGCTTGGTGCTCTGCGTCCTCATCGGGCTCATGTTCGAGGTGAGTAGAGCCGGGAGGGGTGCTGCAGGGACAGGCGGTCTCATCTCCCGTGCACCGCGGTGAAGACACGAATTCCGTGACCTCATCTGGGCTGGAGCGCGCCTGGCTGTCCGGCACGTTATCTGCACCTCTGGCTTTGTGCACTATATCCACCCTGGCCTGGACCTAGGACAGTCCGGACAGCACCCCTAGCTCCTAGCTGGGCGGGCCATGCCATGCTTTGTCGCCCCCTTGGGCACCCACCATACCCTGCAACTCTCTCTCTTCATCTCTGAAATCCGTGCCTGGCCTCGAACCAATCGCAGCTCTGCCTTCTTGGCCCCAGCATTGGGGTTTCCTATCTGGCGTCCCGGTGCCAAGCTGGGAGACTCCCAGACCCGCAGTAATTGCACAATCCCCCCTCCTCCCAAGTAGGGGCCGCCAGATCTAGGTTCTTCCACTGGGAGGGACGCTAGCCATTCTCCACCTCTCCTGTGGCTTTCTGGGCGTTCTTCATCCTAACCTCTGGAGCTTGCTCCAGGTGTTCACATGCGGCCCTGGCTTCATCCCAGTGGGGGTCTTCTACCACCAGCCTCTCTTTAAATATGAACTAAAGGGTTAGTTTTAAGATATCCTTTAGCACTTTGGTCTGTCCCTGTAGATCGATGTGTGAATTAGACCCAGAACCTTATCCCCTTTGCAGGATCTAGGAGAGGTGAAAGGTGAGTCTCTTGTAACTCTAGGGCCTGTGGGGTCGGAACAGAGAATGGGATCCTAGATTCAGCAGTGTGCTGGTGTAGGCCTCAGAGCTGTCTGTGTAAACCAAGGGTCAGAATCCAAAGGGCTGATGGTCCCTACTATAGAAAAGCAACGGTACTGAAAAGTGGGAAGGACCGGAGTGAGAGTATGAGTTTGCTGATATATGTGTGTGTGTGTGTGTGTGTGTGTGTGTGTGTGTGTGTGTGTATCTTGTCTCAAGAGCACCATATGTGACATCATATGTGACATTCCCTCACTTTCACTATAATTTCCTCATCCTGAAGCCCCTGTCCTCCCTTGCTGATCTGCTTTCTGGGGGACATTAAGAAGCTGTACCGTTTAAAAGTTGGTTTAAAAGTTGCCTGACTCTCTTCTGCAGCTGCCTGGGTCTCCCTTCTGTTACTGACACAGGTTCTCTTTGGCTGAGGAGCCTGCCCTCTAGCTGGGGATGTTCTTTTGGTGGCCAGGTCTGGGCTGGATGCATGCCCTTGGCCAAGCTGTAGAGTTTGCAGGAGAGAAGCTGTGACTGGGGTCCATGCTCTATCGGTAATGCTGTCAGTTCACACTCCCCTCCCCTCCCCTCCCCTCCCCTC